GCTCTTTTCAACTATTTTACTCAAAAAAACACTTGACAAAAATCGGAACTTTCAAACTGTAATTGATTACATTTTAGCCTCAAATGATGATTTAATCATTTGTATGTGCAAAAGATTCTTGCTTTGAGGAGGATGCTTCTGAAAAGGCCATTTCTTTATTGGGTGGTTGCGGTTTGTTGTTTGGGTTTTTTAAGATTATCTGAATCGCAGGTGCCTCAAGCAGAAGGTAAGCGAACTGGGTTTTGTTTAATTTGTCCTTTTTTTAGTTATTTATTTCTCTTTTGAGGGGACGTGTGTTTTGCGCTGGTGCCCAGAAGCAAACATTTACAGATAAGTATCAGAAATTTTGATTATATGTAGCTTCTTGATAAAGACCTTGTAGTTAGTTGATGTTGGATTTCTGAGTTCACCTGTTTTTATGATGTGTTAACGAATAGAGAGATTTCCCCTAAATTTGTTGGGCAAATCTTATGAATGTCACATAATCTTGGATAATGATGAAGCAAAACCCTGAAATTTTCAGCTCCAAATCACTTTTATTGTAGAAATTTTTGCAATTAATCTATATATGACCAAAATGACTTCATTCCTTGAGAGGAGTTTGCTTTTTGTGCCTTATCTTACNTTTTTTTTTTTTTTTCGTTTTCCTTGTGGGTTCATAGTTGATGCCCTTCAACAGATAGCCACTAAAATGGGTGCAACAATTTGGGTATTTAATGCCGAATTATGCGAACTCGAGAGAGTTGGGGTCTCGATTTCACCTCCAAGTGGCAACGAGGGCTATGTCGATTGCAACTGCAATTTCGAGAATAACAGCATTTGCCATGTCACAAAAATGTGAACTTTTTTTTATTTCTTTATATGTTTATGTTATTTATTAGTGTGTTTAATTTATTTGCAATTGAATTTCATGTTTTTACCTAATGCAGTGTGATAAAAAGTTATAATCTTCCTGGAATACTTCCGCCTGATATTACGAGGCTACCATATCTCGAATATATGTAAGAGCAATTCAAGCATTGCAATTTAAGCTTACAGAGAGAATAGTTTTACTTTTACCAGATATTTCGAATGTTTTTCGTTTATTTTTATTTTTTACAGTGATTTCGCTTACAATCTTCTCAGTGGTACAATACCGGTAGAATGGGCTTCGACACAGTTACAGTTTNGTTTTGATTTTAGGTCTAATTAAATCATGCTGATTGAACTTTTGTGCAGTTCTGTTCTAGTGAACCGTTTATCTGGAGAAATACCAAGGGAATTGGGGAACATTAGTAGCCTTACATACCTGTATATGTCACCAGTTTAAAATCTTTATTTGTTTTTACTTATGTTTTATTTAATGTTTTGTCAAGTTCTTACATCATTATTATTTGCTCTGCTCTGTTCAGGAACCTCGAGGCCAATCGATTTTCGGGTGCAATTCCTCCTGAAATTGGGAGTTTGACGAATTTAAAAACTCTGTAAGATCCCATGTTCCAAATTTGTGCCAGAAAATGGATTTGTTTTGAATCCAAAACCGGCAGTTTATTTATTAACTTTCTCTCGACTGATTAACAGGATATTATCGTCCAATCAGTTAGTAGGGAGATTACCAGCATCACTATCAAATCTAACAAATTTGAGTGACTTGTGAGAACTAATTACTAATTTCCTCAAGTATTTTATTTTATTTATTTATTGAAATTTTCTTGCATGTTAAAAAGATTTCTGTGGCATGACAGTCGAATAAACGACAACAAGTTAAGTGGACGAATACCCGAGTTTATTCAGAACTGGACACAGCTTGTGAAATTGTAAGAACTTACATTACAGATATATTTTTTTATATTCTCATTCAGTACATTGTACTAACGTTAATTTATCGGGTGTTCAAATGAAGAGAAATGCTCGCAAGTGGACTTGAGGGCCCTATCCCTTCAAATATATCTCTTCTGAATATGTTACAGGACTTGTGAGTACACAGCATTATTTAACATTTATTAATTTTGCCCTTTTAATTTTCCACACTTAACTTAAAGTAATCTTTCGTGGGGTGATTTTGTGTAAACCAGGAGAATTAGTGAGCTTAAAAGGCAGTCTCAAGATTTTCCTTTGCTAAGGAGCACTACAGGCCTAGTAACATTGTATATATAAAGCTTATATCCTTTCATTTTTTTTTAAATTTTTTTGTAAAATTGTATGTACTATGCTAAGATGATTTATTTTCTTGTTTATAGGATATTGAGAAACTGTAACATTACTGGAGGAATCCCTGAGTATGTATGGAGGCTGAGAGTTCTGCAGATGTTGTAAGTGAACTGAACAATTTTTTTTTTATCTTTTCCTTTGGTCAAGTTATAAGTGAAAAATCTCCTAGAGATTCGCATTTAATTTTAATGCTCCGAATTCATGCAAAACTTGTCTGAAAATGAATAAATGGAATTTGCAGGGATGTCAGTTTCAATAAGTTAACTGGCCAGATTCCAGATCACATTGCAAGAAATTTGAAACTTGTGTGAGTGAAAATATCTCAGTGTTTTTATCTTATGCATTTTTTCATAATCGAGTATGTAATTCATATTTCTCTTGTTCTTTT